GCACAGAGGATACAGAGAAGGAAGAGATGCCGGTTCACATAATCAACCAGACCGTCACACGAACAAAACCAGTAGCACTGACAAAATGTTCTGTGACTTGCACAGAAAGATGATATGCTGGCAAAGAAAAATCTGTTTGATTTTAAAGTGTGTGATTTTAAAATCAAACAGAGTCATGACCACCTTTACCATTACTTATAGAAAGGACGTCATTTTCAAGACTAAGTCTCAGAATTAGGGATATGATATAAAATGATAAATAATAAAAAACTTAATTTATGCAGCACATCTTAAAACAGAGTTAAAAAGTCATTCACAAGATAGAAAATCAACCAGCAATAAAACATCTGACAAAAGCTGTGGTTGATAAAGGGGAGATGAAAGTGAGCGAGAAAGTAAATTAACAATGTAAAAACAGGTAAATTAAGCTCAAATATAAAGTGTTTTAAACACACTTTGTAAGATGTTGCATCACTGAGAAGAAATAATAAAAAAAATCATTGAAGCCAACATAAAATAACTCAAAGGGGAAAAAATGGTTGTTCCAGAGAGCAGGGCCCTGACAGAAAAAGCCCGGTCACCCTTGGTCCTCAGATCAGATTATGGGGTGGCCAGCAGAGCCTTGCCTGAGCACATTCAGTGAGTCAGCTGCAGCATTTCATATGTGAGATACACTCAGCGTATTTATTGGGATTTAAAGAAATGCACTGCTGCGTGTGATCTGCATAAGAGTGAAAACTAATATCTATTTATTTTTACATGCAACCAAAACTTGAATGTTCAATAACCTAATTCTAAATATATTTTTGATATTATTTGAGCACTGTATGCTGGAAAAGTCTGCTAATATGCTCACAGTGGTTCTGACTTATTCTGCAGACCTCTAAAAATACAATCTACACTTGTGAGGTTGTATTGAACAAGGCCTTCGTATTTACATGAAGGTAAAAATAAAGAGCTATTTAATCCCACTAAACCATCTATATACACCACTGATGAAGTGACCAAAGGAAGTATCAGGTGTCATGCTTTAGTTTGGCGTTACCACAAGAAAAGTACTTGAAGCGTATAGATGTCGCTGTTCTGTTTGTTCTCTGAAGCCTGCCATTAAATAGAATAGGTCCTTTTTAATTCCTGCAATCCATGCCACTGGCTCTACTGGCTCTTCCAGAACTTCGTCCTCCAAAGCACTTTTCATATGGTTTTGATAAAATACAATTAATTTAAAGCATAGAGGAACAAACAAACAAGAACAAAGAATACAGATCAAAGCATAACAAAATGAAAGAAGTGTCAGTGTATATAATTAAAATATATACAGAAATATACTACAGAAGTATTGTGATGTATGTGACACAAATAATCTCTTACTCAGGCAGATTGATTACAGATGAACAGTTGAGTAGAGCTTAAGTAATTTTTACACAAAGACTAATTGCAGTTATTTATCCTCTGGCTCTCGTCATCGTGCCAGGTATGGGCTTCTGATTTGTCCACCGCCACTGAAAATGTTATTTCGAGCACGTTTTTAAATTGTCACAGGCAACATGCTCAAAATGGCGCAGGCCGAGCTGCTATGACTTCAGAAATCCTCAGCATATTTCTGCTGTGCACACACACGCACACACACACACACACACACACACACACACAGAGTTATGATCCTCAGATTGTTGGGAACACGGAATTTGTCTTTTATGTGAATTAAATAAGATCTTCTTGTGGGCCTCTCTCCTTCCTGTTCCGCTTTCCATTTTATGTTCATTTCCATTCCCGGACAAAGCCGTCTCTCCACGGTGTATTAATGCCCATCAAAGGCCTCAATCAAGTTGCTTTGCCACAGGCTAAAGTCAAACTGGAGAGGCTAAAGTTTAATGCTGTTAGTGCAGTGAGGATGTGGGCTCATGTCTCTTCCTTGTCCTGGAGTTTATTTTTAACCCCAACATCCACAGATATCTGGTAAGTCCGGTTAGTGGAATGAGGCGTCTGAAAAAACTGCACTCGCTGAAAGTGCCATTTCAAGGTCACTGACTATGACAACAGCCTTTTTCATTGTGCCATTAGGACAATGTCTTCATGTTTCACTGGGAAAGCAGAAAATTCATTAAATATAACATAATTACACAGGGCTTCCTTAAAAATTAGTCACGGCTGTGAGTCAGTAGACTCGTGGTTTCAAAGTATCCGGCTATAATAAATGTTTATGAAGAAGCTGCCGACTGTCTGCTGACATTTTCACTTCCTGAGTGGAATATTGGGCTTTGTATCAGTCCTAATTAAACTTTAACCTTTCAGTTCCATCTGCTACTTGATTTGAGATATGTTTTGAGCAATGCATCCACTAAGTGCACAAAATTAACACAAGACATGAATTTTACAGTCATAAATCCCCATTTTCCCCCCAAGTTAAGTGTGAAATTAAAGCTAAAGTAAGAGGAAAAAATGCTATAAATCATGGAATAGAAAAAGTCAGTCTTCATACAAAACTGCACGTCTTTCTGGTGCTGGTTAATGTACTTGTAATAACATGCAATTAAAACTATATTGGATTTGGTCAAATGAATTTTCATCAAGGGGCTCTAACCATGTGAACCTCATTATAGTTACTTAGTTAAACTTCTGTCATCAGTCGTCACTTCTCTCTAAAGGAATTTGACTAAATACTGGACTTTATAAAGACAGACGCAAGCCGAGTTTTTGGAAGTAAAATATGATCCATGAATGCATTCATTGTGTATGTGTGTGTGTGTGTGTGTTGTGTGCTTTAATGCTCCATTATTCACTGCAGGTGGGCCTACTGTTAGGGGGACGCTTCCACTCACGGTGCCAGAAAACTGACACGTAAATAATTTTTTAGTAGTGAGGACCACAATCCCACACGCTCTCGCTCTGACCTTCCTGGGCTGCAAAAAACAAAGAGTGTCCAAGGTTCTTGTAAGATCAGTTAGTAAAACTGTGGATACTTTTTCTGTTTTTTGTCCGCTGAATAAAAGGAGACCAGATTATGTTTGTGGCCAAAGCATGAAGCACCCTCTAAACACACCAAGAAAATTCAAAAGGAATAATAAATTATGCTACATTTCATCTTCATTTACAGCCATCACATTAGGTAATATTCTGACACTTAGGATACAAGTTTTTATCTCTGAAAGGATTCATTAATTAATCGATACTTTCTTGATTCACATGCAGTGCACAAGAAGCCACAAGCTCATCAGTTATCGTCAGGTTCTCTGCTAAGAAAAAGCCCAGACAGAAGTATACTGTTCTAGCAGGTTGACGATTAGTTTAAGTGATCATGAACTCTGGTTCACTGCCATAAATCGTCCTTCTGGCAAAAGAGGAGTGAGTTCAAAGCAATTAGATATTTGTTTGACAGCAAAAGATGCAACATAAACTGTTGTAAAGTCACTTTATCTCTTCCCTGAGGACAGTCGGTTTACAGCAGAGTGTGAGCCAGGTTTTCAGAGCATGAACATTGCATCAGACATGCAACTATGGACACCTTTCATTCTCATGGATTTAATTTGAAATCCAACCAAGTCAAAGAAGCAGATTTCTGCTCGTCTTTCACTCGCTTGCTTTCTTTTCTTCCCTCGGACATAAAACGCGTGTTTGCATGTGTCCACCATGTGTGTGTGACAGTATGAGCTTACTTGTGCCTTGAATGCAGTGTGTGTCCGCATATAATGTGAAGCGAGCAGTTCATCCGTCTTTCTTTCTGCTGCTTGCCCATAAGCTCTGTGAGTATATGCAAAACAAATGTGCACTCCACTGGAAGAGCAACTAACACACACACACACACACACACACATATATATATATCCATTTGGCATGGGTGTCTATGGATAATGGAAAATATCAGTATTGAAAATATCCTGAATCAAATATAACAGACTCATTTTGAAGCTGTGAGTACAATGATCACTTTTTTATTATCATCAAAAATATATTTTTCTCTGAGACAAATTCATAGCCTACAAAAATTTCATTCATAAATACAGCAGTGCTTGAATTGTACTGCACATGATTATAGGTAAAAAGCCATTATGTACTTAATTATTTGCGAATAATAATTATAAATGATAATAAGGGTCTTCCAAATACTGAGTTGTTGATTAAAGTAGGAAACCTCAATAAGCCAACAGGATGTTTTTATACTGGTCAAGTTAATAGAAAGGTTAGCTAAAGCAGACCGGAAATATACTCACTTCTAAGTAATCCTTAAGAACGGTCGTTGTGTAAGATGTTCAAGCTTTTATTTTATACACAGTATGAACACATAAAAAGACAAATTACATAAAAATATTATTTTACTCCCAAACTTTTCTCTGGGCGTGAAATTATATCTCCTATGTCATAAAAAAAACAATAAGGAAACTAATTCGAAAAATGAATTTTGAACTCTTTTATTCAGAGGAAAAGTATTTCTGGCATGCTATTAAAGCTGTCTGTCAGCATGACAAAACAAATATATTAATTAGTATCAGTAATAACTCAAATCTTTCGGTGGTTTGTGCACATAATCTACCTGGATGCTGGTGTATTATTTAGTAAGACTGTAATAATAATAATCGTATTTAACTGAAATGTAAAAGTCTAATAAAGCTAAAATAGTTATCGCCACAAATCAAACTGGGGTTTTTTTCGCTGAAATTAATAGGATGCAAGTGACTCCGAAACCCGTTTCAGTTGATATTTCAGAGATGAAAACAAAAAGATCTTTTAAAGCAATACTCGTGTTATTCTGAAGCCACATACGTGGACCTGTCGGCTGAATATGGATGATTTGCCCTTGATGAACCATTGCGAATGAAGGATAAAATTGTCCCCTCTCCGCCCCGGTGCCATCACTCGCAGGCTATATATTCATATCCAAATTGCTTTATTGTCACGTGTTAAGCCCCACGCCCCTCTTCTTGCAAACTCCTTTTCCTTTTTCTTTTTTTTTAAGAAAAAGAAAAACCCAAATGAGCGCACTAACTCGTTCATGTCATCAACATAATCACTTGGGAGAGGTCTCGAAGGCAGGAGATCTGTGTCCCATCCTCTAAGGGAAGACGGGTTTGTGTAACTCTCCTCAAACCTGAGGGGAGTTGTGGAGTGTTTGGTCAACGACAGTGCTTCCTGGAAAAGATCTGAATCGTTTTATAACCAAACCCAGCTGCGGTCTGGTGTGCGCTGCAGTCACCGCGTGCATGTATGTATGCGTGCGTGCGTGCGGATGTATATGTGTGTGTCTATTTTCATCTGAATGAGGTAGAAGGAGGGGAAGGGGTTTCTGCGCTTCCCTTTCCAATAGAGGGAGAGATAGGAAGAGAGAGGGGGGAGAGAGAGACAGAGAGACAGAGAGAGAGAGAAAAAAGTTTGGTCTTGTTCTCCCTTTCACTCTTTTTTTTAGGCATGAACACTGAGACCTGCGTTTCATACAGCGATATGACATCCATGGATTCATATTATAGCTCCTCTGCTGCGCAAGGTAGGGATCACCAGACGGACCACTTTAGGACATTCCCAGCTACTGATACCAAATACAGCCCCGCTGCCTTCCTGCCCAACAAAGGTCAGGGTTACGGAGAAAAGTCCAGGAGCCCCTTCCAACAGGAGTGCCAGTCATTGGATGCCGCCGCAGCTGGGCAAGGCACTTTCAGCAAATACCACCTCTTCATGCAGAGGTCTTCTTGCAAAACACCCCCCGAGGAGGACAAACTGCACCAGGAGAGGGGACACAACGGAGGGCTCATCTCTTGCTACGGTGAGTGGGGAAATAATTAAGATGAGAAAAAAACAGATCAGAGTTTTAATCTCGTGTTTTCAGTTTAAAGGGAAGAAACTGAAAGGGCCTGTGTATCAAAGGGCACGCTGTGCAAATAAAAGCTACAGCATCAGGGTGTTTTCTCCGGAGAGAGTCAGCGCGGCGTTAGTTTTACGTCTGATTTCTCGATTAGGCACACTTGCTTTGAACCTGTCACTCACTGCTCCGCTTCTTCCCACAAACTCCGCGGGTAGCTATTAAGGGTTTAGGAGATTTGATCACCAATGGCACGGATGCACAAGTGAACAAGCAGAGCGCAGATCGGCGTGAATGGAGGAGTGTTCTGATTAATCAAACCATTTATCCAAAACTTTTTTCTAACTTTCTGTCATCCGCAGAGAGGTGAAACTCTGAAGCATTAAAAGTGTCAACTGCAGCATATGCAGGCTCTCAAAGAGGCAGCGGTTCTGTGCGTAACGCGGTTAAGGAGAGCAATAATCTTCCCGACTATCAAATTGTCTCTTTGGCCATCAAAATTAAATTAGGGCGAATTTAATGCGATAATCTGCACTACAATCCTTAATATTGGAGTTGAGTCGGACAATTGAATTAACAGGTTTTCAGATGGCACAAATAGTGAGCCCCAAACTGATGATATTTTCATTTCATTGCACCGCCTGATTGGATCCAATTAGTTTAATTGCGAAGGGGCGCTGCTGTAATTGGTAAATGATGAGAGTGTGAATAAAACTTTGACCCTAGTTAGGCGGGCGGCCACTTTTAAACAGCATTTTCTCAGCGCATAAAACGCCTTTAACCTACAGCGAACTAAACGTAAGACGATATAGTGAACTTCCTTTGGTATTATCTGTTGTTCAAAAACAGGTACGTCATTTCTTGTTTAACAATAATATATATATATCTGATATTATAAGTGGTCTGTGTGTCTATGTGTGTGTGTGTGTGTATGTGAGTGTGTTGTGTGTTGTGTGTGTGTCTGTGTCTGTGTGTGTGTGTGTGTGTGTGTGTGTGTGTGTGTGTGTGTGTGTGTGTGTGTGAAATTAAATATATCTTTATCTCTCTGAATGAAATATATATTGTCTGGACTGAGTTTCGTTGTCGCGCTTTCTATATCTATAGCTCAGTGGACATCTGTGCTTAAAAAAATAACCAAAAAAGCGAGCTAACGTTGCAGAAAATTGATAAAGCAAACAATAAAATAAATTCAAACAACAATAATTGTTTGATGGGAGGCCTCTGTTGTGTCGCCTTTACGCATGAAGTCATCCCACCACGATCGTCCACAAACACAGTCTGTTTATCTTTTCTTTTTTTAATTCGATGGGGTTTAGGGATGTTTTGACAGTTTCCGGATGTCGGCTTCTTTATAGCTTCACAATGTCAACAACATAGAAGTCTTTTCAAAAAGGCATTCTGCTCCTTTAAAATGGCTCTTAAGCTTTTTATTATTCGTTAACTTTGGCGTAGATCTGATGGATCTAGAATAAAAATCGAAATAAAATGTTTTATGTAATGTTGTGAGCCGCAGTCATTAGACCGATACTTAAACTACACTTTTTTTCTTCAGTAAGAGCTATGAACTACTAAAGAACCAAAATCATTTTTATGATAAACTTATTTATATAAATACAAAAAAACCCGATTATTGTGTTTTGTTTTGTTTTGTTTTTAAATTAAAGGCTTAAAGAGGAATCTTGATATCATATTTGCTGCATTTTTTCTAATGACATAAAATTTTATACCAGCTTTTCAGTTTCACTTTTCTTTGGTGCTTTATCATTTCACTTCCAGTTTTAAAAACTGGAATTTGAAAAACCTCTGTCAGGTTTTCAGGTTCTCGTGGATTCTGCCTCTTTCTGCGACTCAATACTGTCCAAATGCACAGTGAAGAAAGCAAGAAAACAAAACCCATATCCACGCCATCAGTGCTCGGGCATTAATACGACTCAGATGTCAACCTTCTCTGTTTGCTTTTATTTCTCAGCTCAGGCTTGACCCTCAGAGAGCCAATCCTCCTTTAAATCTCCAGTTTGGAAACACGTGACATCCTGCTTGATATTTGCAGATCTCCTGTGTTGTTTTTTAAATCGGCGTTACAGTTGTAGAAATAAAATCTAATTCCCAGTTTAAACGCATAATTCCTAAAATACTGGAGGAAAACTGTGTGAGTCTGGGTGGTGCTGTGGGTGGTGGCTCCCTTATCAGTGGCTGCAGGTTTTTCACTGATTTCTGCAGCGCTCACTGACTCGACATAAATTGAACACAGCAGTAAAAAATGCTGAACTCGCGAGCCAAGGGAAGAATTTATAAACGATCCCTGATGTTTTTATTGGAAAATGCTGGACTGTTTTACTTCCTGGCTCATTTCTTTTATCAAACCTGTATTTTACACACTCACTCAAATTGTCAGAGATTTGCTGTGTTGTTATAATTTGCGGCTTGATCCCTTCAGTCAAAGGTGATGTGATGACTGGTCTCCGAGCTGTCTGAAGCGCAGGCCAGCCATAATTGAGACACAGAGCTGCGTAACCGTCTAATAAACATTTACTTACATTAGAGGAACTGCAAACACGGCTATGTTGTTTATACTCAGCACACTGCCAATCATATTGTTACAGCAAATCAACAAGGCAGCTCTTGGAGCCCGAAGAGAGCTTTCAGCTCAGGCTGAGGGCTGACAGCCTGAGACCGACTGATAGACTGGGAGAAGAATATGAGAGAGCGCGCTGAAAGAGCAGTGTGTGGTTAAAAACACTGTTTGAAGGCTGATTTAAAGCAACAGTCAGGCTACATGTCAGATTTAATTGTATTAAAATATCTATAAAAAGAGCCAAAGTTATGGGTTCACATTCCTTAAAAAAATAAAGAATTAATTAAGTATTATTTTAAAAGAATCCCTCAAAATTTAATATACTGGAGAAAATATTCCATATGGAGATTAATGAGTGTTTCTGGACTACTGGATTTTTGTAGGTCATTTGTTTCACAGCATAATGTATATGATTTTACAGGCAAAATATTATAATATTTGCAATTTCAGTGGTGTATGGTTTTCCAACAGGTTAAACAAGCTGCAGAAACTTGAAATACTAAAAATAAGGGACCTTGAGAATTGGTAATTATTTTCCATCACAGATAATGCACGTTTTCTTTTTATAAAGAAATCTTGTCACCACCACAACCAGAAAAATATGCATGCGATTCACAAACTCTACTGTATGAAAAACTTTCAAAAATGGTGAAAAAATAGAAGTCTAGGGACCGGGTAGGTCACTTCGTAGTCTTAAAACAACCACCTACATGTCTTTGTGATCCTCTTCCTCTTTTGATGTGTCCATGTCTTCTCTCAGTGTCTCAGGGTGCTGACCTTTAGCTCGGCGTTCCTGCCCTCATGTGTTTGGAGAGGAGCGGGAGCTCCCCTGCAAGCGCACAGCAGAGAAAATCCATTTGAGGGCCCCCCCCCCCCCCCCCCCCCATCCGAAACGCTCTGGTGTCAAAACAGAGCTCTTTGCAACATTTAGAATTGGACTCGAGCTTTACACGGTGCATGGTTAACTACCCCAGCATGACAAAGTGCAGATGGTTGACAATTTAAAGGAAAAGAAAAAAGTTATTAGTAATCTGAAATATGTGAAATGTCGCACTGGAGGGATGAAAGAAGATGTTTACCTCATTTTGAGTTCTGATGGTGGAGAGTGCCAATCCAGAATCTGCCATCATAGGCTTTAGGCCATCCATATGATGAGCTTCATCCTTATCACCACTCAGTGACCTCCTCGTGCCTTATGAGTTGGAGTGGGGTGAGGGTTATCTTCCATTAGAGAGTAAAGGTGGTCATTAAGAACTCCCACCACATATCTTCCTTGTAGGGGTACAGGAGTTGAGTTTTTTCCTGTAATTTGTCACTCATCTGTGCTGTTGCATGGAGGATTGCAGGCCTTCTTAGAGGAGATTTGTGCCTCATATACTTTTTTTTTCTTTAGGTGTAGGCAGTAACATTATTCACTAAAGACATGCCGCTGTTGCAGTTGAAAGCTATAAAAAATCGCTGTTTGTTAAACTGATTTCTTTGCACAGCCAGAATTAAATACTGCTCTGCTGCCCTGCAGGTATTAATATTTCATAACTTACACAGGCAGTTAAGGAAATTATCTTCAGTAGGACCATCATTTACATAATGCTTTCATTGCCTTGTGAGGTTTTGCCCCTGTACTCTTCAGCCTTTTTACATTTTTTATATTCCTTAACCATTTTTAGCCCCACTGCAACAATTTCACCCACTCGTAATGGCAATCTGTGCTGATTGGTTCGAGCAGGGCATAATGGGAACCAGCCACGCAGCCCAGACAACTGAGGCACACTTCAGCAACTCGGTGACATGAGTGGAGGTGACAAGGACTCAGGATCATTTTACCATTTAGCTTAAAGTTTGGCAGGGTAATTTACATTAGGCTCGGTTTGCATGGCCGAGTGAGAGCAGCAGGGCAAAAGAAAAAGGCTCACGAGGACCAGGACTTCCTTTGGTCTCTTTGTCACTGCTTCATGTAAACTGACCGCTTACGCAGAACTAGAAGACTCCAGATTGGTTCTGAAATTTTTTGTACACTTATTGTTTAGCGAGGTGAATTATGGCAAACGGTTCAAATTTCCAAATCAATAACTTGTTGGGTTTTTTTTTCTTTTCAAGATGTTCTTCTGTTGTGATTTCTGCTTTTTGAAGGCCGGGCACTTTCTGAAACTCTGATGATGATGTAAACATAAAGTTCAACTAAAATACACACAAAAATAGATTTTTTTTCTTCAGTTTATTTATTATTTATTCTACAAACCATATTATTGAAACTCTGTGGTTCTTTTTTTAATGTTAAAATTTAGCTTATGATTTGTGATTGATTTAGTAGGATTCCCCAGTTTTTCTGTCAGTGTCAGCGTCTTTTGTCGGTCTGATCAGTTGTGGTATTTGTAGTATTCCTGCTGCTGGGTAATTAATATTTCCTAATCAAAGAGGCGAGGCAGTTTGGGAGTTTTTAATTTCCAAACAGAGCTGCTGCAGAGCACTTTGTTAGGACTGAAGCATTTTGGATGTTTAGCTGGTGGAAACTGGTTGCACGTTGTGTTCTCAAATTCACTTGCAGTTATTGAAACCTTGAGTGGAAAAAAAAGCCATCACGCATGTTTTCAACACGGGTGTTTTTTTTCTTCATTTTATGTCTGTGCATTCCCACGAAAAAAACAAAACAGAAAAATGTAGACGAGCAAGCTCTTCGCACTCGGAAGGAATGTTCTGTTTCGATCACACAACAAAAACATAAGATGGAGGAAATTCAGTTTTGTTCCAAAGTCTGGGAGAAACATTTGGAAGAGAGCTGGTGGGTGAGAGACAGGGAGAGCGATGCAGAGGGGGGGTGAGAGCGAGAAAGACAGAGATTGCGTGAGAGGTGATTTATCAACCTTTGTCTTTATGGGATTTTTTTTCACAGTCTGAATTTTTCACAGCCTGCTGGGATGGCTTATTGCTCTGTTGCAGAGAGGTTAATGGCTACCTGTTGCATGGTTACAAACACTGAACAAACAGAAATGTGTTCATGCTTCTTTTGTTTAGTATCAGGTTTTCCCAGTGTACAGCAGTGGTGTAAAAGTGCATTTTGTATGCTTGTATGTATGTAAGCACCTGATATTACAGCAAAGAAACCGAAGTGCAGCAATATCCTTCCAAAAGAGACAAGGCCATGATCGCTTCATCTTCAGCAGAGGTTGAAGATGTTTTTGGACTTCTTCTTCATCTTCTTTTTTAAATGATGTAAAAAAAACAACACAACAACACGGAGAGGATCTCTTATAACATACAGCTGGTAAATTGTCTGATCCACATATTTAATGCTTTCGACACTAAACAAAGTGCAGGAATATAATGAGGAGAGTAAATGTGTTGGTTGAGACCAAACCCGGAGCTAAGAAAGGATATCAGTGATGTACTTGGCACGCTGCATGAAACTTACATTTAGTGCTGATGTGCTTTCAAACTGCTGAATATGTAAATAAGTACTCATTCTGTTTAAAGGTTTCATTTGAGTCTATTTGATTATACGACACATCGTCTCACTGTTGTGCAACAATTAAAAATACTTTAGCTTTAACTAAAAGTACAAATATGAAACAATAATTCATTACAAACAATAAGTCTCAGGTCTGTGTAATAAAATAATGATAAAACACTTTATTTTACACATTATATTGCAAATCTTTCATTTTAGCAGCAGTCTGCTTAGGTCTGCATTTGTGATCTGTTATGGAGTTAAACCGGATGATGAGTAAAACAAAGAGCATCTGAAAACAGCATCATATTTTACATCAATCTTTAAGGCTTTCGTTTGACTGCCCAGCGTGCACGGCTAGGCTCTTCTAATGACCCCAATTTAATTTCTCTTTCACAAATGTAATCCAAATATACTCTGCTAGTGTTTTTTCTTCTTTCTCTACTTTTTGAGATATTTCCTTTTCACTTTGAATGACACGTTGTTAATCTCTCTCAGCCTTCGTGGGGTGTATGATTTATTGTGTTTCCTCTTAACACACCACGCTGACCCCAGTCATCCCAGTCAATAAAGAGGCCAGGAAAAGTGCCCTGTCACTTTACAGCCCCGTTAAATTTACACTTTGATGCTGCCCCTCGTTTTCAGCTTCGAATTAAGCAGCCCACGCCACGTCCCCGTCTAGCCCATAAGAGCGTCTGTTGTGCCCCGATGGCCTTGCAAAATTGCAAGTGTGTGAGACGCAGCAGAGCTTTTATTCAAGTGTGTAACTGTGATTTTCTAAATCCCTCCTGATCTCGTTCGGAAGAATTTTCTGAGTTTTATTTTATGTGTGCAGACCGTTCCCTGTCCGCGCGGCACAGAGCTGCACAGTAATTTGAACAGATGCTGGCTGGTAGAGTCACTGCATTGAAAATAGAATATTCTGTGGTCGTGGCTAAAAACATCTTCATGGCATTTTCATCTAAAAGAGAATAATTCTGGTGCGTGCATTTGCTGGACTGTTCTGGCCTACGTGAGTTAGAGACGCTGCGCGCAGAAGTGCAGATGTAAGCTAAAACTGTGAGAGAACAGTTGAAGTCATGAGCACTGTGATAGAGGTTTTGATGGAGCACATGTTTTTCACAGTCGCTCCTTTCCTGCCTCTCTGAGAGGAGATTTGATCCTGACAGCACTCTTTGCAGCCAGTCTTTCTTGTGCTCTCTCTGCATATGGCATTCCCTGCAGGAGGGCCCACTGCTCTTCACCTTGGGCAGTGCCGGAGTGCTAAAGAAGATTGCATGGATAACAAGCAGGAGATTGTCACAATATCCCGCCCTGCCAAAAAAACTTCAGTGACGCGATATAAACAATTGCCTTTGATCAGTGAGAGGCCTCATGATTTCAAACAGCCTGACAGCTCTTGCTTTGCAGGGACTGCGGGTGCAGGCCAGGGAAATATGATTAAATAACTGCATAGTATTTATGCTAGGAGAAAACACATTTTCTCCCTTCAAGCTCAACAGGGTATGTTAGTCATGGACAGTGAGGCAATGTTGGAAGCACTGGACCCCCAGCAAGCGGTCTGCACCAAAACACAGCTCCTGAGCCCATCAGGGGAGGCCAGACTTCTCTGTTCTCTGAACGTCGTAGAGCTAAAACGCATCTGGTCGGATGCACGCTGCAAACCGTGCAGCAAGGCAGGTTTTTTTTACTTTCTTCCGTTTTCTTCTTCTTTGCAAGGCTGAATAAAATAAAATAAGAGCCACACAGCTTCTGCTGTCCAGAACAGGCCTCAGTATTTTTTTTTAGTACCAAGCCAAATGCTTTGCCTGGTATTAATTGGAAAAATATGCTCGTTTTTATTATTCATATCCCTGCAAACAAGATAAGGATTGTAAACTATGAATTTGGTCTCTATTAGCTACTGACAGTCCAGCATTGTACTCGACAGTCAAGAAAACAACTGCAGCAAAAGTAATAAACAGATGCTCGCAAACACATCTCGTAAAAATGTGTTAGAAGACAGAATTGAGTAGAGAAAGAGAGAGGGGAGGGAATCAGGGTCCCTTCAGCTCACCTTGTAGTGCATTACCCAAAATGGCTCTGAGATGGGGTCACTGGGTGTGTGTGTGCATGTGTGATGCCTTCTTTGCTGACCGAGCGCTGAGCAGGAGCTCACACAAACGCACACACCTCCCACTTCTAACCTTGCAAATTCTCAGATGAGCGGAGACGTCCTCGTTCCTGAAAATAACTTTGCCTCAGAAAAAATCGACAAGCAGGACGGTGCCGCACGGCTACTCTAAGTCATGGTGATCAATCCGAATCCCCCCCCCCCCCCCCCCCCATGACGGGAATAGTTATTAACCAAGAGATGTGTTCACAATTGATTAGATCAGCGGGGCCCCAAAAGTCCTGCCAACTCAGAGACATGGCTGTTGAAATTTATGATCAGCTGAGCCATGAAGAAAGAGGGAGCGTGTTTGTAACTGAGACAGAAAGAAAGCACAAAGATCTCTATCTTGCTTACATGGCAAGAAGCCGCTCTGCAGCTATTGCATTTTGACAGTTTTGCTGCCAGGTGACTTTGCAGCCACATGACAGACTTCAGTTACACATACAACTAATATGAGGATAAAGTATTCTGTGTGTGTCTGTGTGTGGGTGTGTGTTGGATTGGAGGTGGTTTAGGAAGGTAAAAAAAAAGAGTTGTAAAAAAAAAATCCAATTTTCTGTCAGGCTCAAATTATAGCCTGAGATTCTCTTCACCCCCCCCCCCAAACACATCGCAGAATGATCTACGAACTACAACTGGAGCCTGTAAGCAGCCAGTGATCAAGACCAGCCATTACACACTCAGACAGACAAACACACTGACGCGCACTCTCGGCTCTGCACACCAGCGGATTTCACAAGTCGCAGAATTTCCTCACAAAGAGCGAGAAATCCCTTTGTTCCACCCAATCAAACCCAATGAAATATCACAGCGATCGAAGGCATAAATCATCATTTATGAACACGCTGCCAGGAGCCATGTGACTGGGACGTTTAGTAGGATAGAGGATCAGTCATTTCTTTCATTTATTTACTTTTAAAGGGTGCTGAAAAAATGAAAAATGTTTGTCCCAAGTGCCCAGTGCTGTAATAGATTATATCTATCTGACTTTTTGAGAGGGACTCAGATCAGAAAACACTTAATATCAGCATGGCTCTAAGGGGAACAGGGCGATTTGAGAAAGCCAAATAAGGCCACGCTGATAAATATTAGCATTTATCTTTCAGTAGCCATGGGCGTGTGAAATACGCGGTCTTAAAACTCCATTTTTCAAGAGCAAAAATGTTGCAAAACCAGAAACCATTTCAAATCTTTGTGCCAATAAGAGGAAGAGAAGAAAGGCCGGGGCAATAAAAACTTTCATCTTGTTCAAACTCCTCCACATGTGATTTGAATCAGTGAAGTGTGAATTGCTTCCTTAAATTCTGAATAATAGCATTTGGACAAACACCGTTAAAAACACATTTATTTTATTAAACTAATATATCCTCTCCAATAAAACATTGTGTGTCTAATCGTCAAGTTACATCCTTTTTGGGCAGTGTTATGTAATGACTTTTCCTTACATGCATTTGGGGTTTAAAAAAAAAAATCTGAACTTCAGACATTCACAAATATCAGTCCTGATACAATTATAGAAACACAAACCTCTCCTAACAGTTTTTAACCTTTTCCTGACTCACTAGGTAAAGACAGTTCTGGTCTGGCAGATTCTGACTTGGCCCCAGACTCCGACCCACCTGGAATGGACACCAGATACCTAGCTGTGAAGGATCAGGGCGTCAAGGCGGCCTCTGATAGGACGCCAGGCACTGACTTAGCGAGCCCTCTGGAAAAAGCTGATGGTGGCGAAAGCAACAAAGGCAAAAAGAGGCGCAACCGCACGACCTTCACGAGCTACCAACTGGAAGAACTAGAGAAGGTTTTCCAGAAGACACACTATCCTGATGTTTATGCTCGAGAGCAGCTCGCGCTCAGGACGGACCTGACTGAAGCCCGCGTGCAGGTACTGCAGCACACTCAGCAGCTGACGGGGAATTTCACATGAAGCTAAATGGGTTAAACAAACTGCAGATAGAGCTGGAAAAAAGGAAACACTGCACTTTATAATAACACACTGAGGCTGATTAAAAAACTTTATTTAGGGTGGTCGTTCAGTTTTGTGTCTTTAGAGACGTTAACTTCTAAATCAGAGGTGTAAAAAGAAAAAGTAAGCTCTTCCACAGCTGAACATCACAACCTCATGGATCTTTGAGCATCTGCAGCTCGACACAGATAACGTCACTCACAGAACAACATGAGAGATTTATCTGGTAATGTGGGAGTCAGGGGAGAGAGTGGGGGAGTGGGAGCTAACAGAGGCCAGGGGGGCCCAGGGGGTAGCTGAGGTTTGAGCTGCCTGTGCCTCATATGTGCAGTTTTAGGAGCGCAGACTTTCATCAACATATGAGGAGACCCCTTTGACGCTGCTGTTTCTATTTTTCCCCCCATCGCATTTGCACCTAAACGGTTTAATTTGCTGAATTTCTGATTTTAGCTTTGAGCTTGAGATGTCTCGCTGGCCCGGTTATGACTGCTTTGATACATTCCAACATTAATGGGCAGAGAAGGAAACCTTCACTGTTTCTGTGCCATGTCTGTGTGTGGTGTATGCGTATGACTACAAAAGCCCCTGGATTTTCTCTGTTTTTCTTTCATTAAGTTCCTCTTCTGACAAGAATGTGTCCCTGCTGTTGTCTCCGGGGGTAAGGTGTGAAACTTTTCCCGTGGGCTTTTAGCGAGCTGGAGATTTATATGTGAATTCATATCTATTTGAAGGCATGTGATGTCTTCCAACAATGTACGGAGACAATATTATGGATATAGTTTTTGATGTGCGGGGCTGTCATACATGGGATGAGATAAGAGCTAGATTAAAACCAATCTTCGACATGGAGCGGTGGCCAGCAAATTTCCACAGCGAAACGCAGGAAGTCCACGCAGCCAAAGGGTTATAACTCAACCCCGAGTCGCTCAAGGTATGCTGCTCGGCTCTGTTCTGCAGCTCGCGCTATCACGGACCTGCCCGCTTCAGATGAATGCAGCTTTTTACAGCCCTCGGCTCTCCCAGTGGTCTTCTTAAACGCTCAAGTTAAAAAAGATAAAAGACACGAGATGCCTTGTCAGTCAGAGAACGGGGCTCTGTGCTCCACACACACACGCACAAAAAAGCCCTCACAGCTCATCATTTAAACATCTGGAATGAAAAAACCAAAATGGGAAGAAAAAAAAGTTGATCAGCTGATAAAAGAAAAACAGTCCACGACGGCTTTTAAAAACCTTTTGTTTAATTATAAAAACAAAAGACAAAAATCACTGAGAGTCCATACTTAGGTTCGTTGCATGAAAACAGGGGGCTTTCAGTTAAACAACATCAGGGATCGGAGTTGTTTGCTTTTTCAGTCTTGGGGTTTCAAAGGAAGAGAGTGAGCCCAGCTCTTATATACAATATAGGAAGGTCAAAGGTCAAGGGTTTCAATAGCATCATTGGTTCTGAGAATCAAGATGGCATCTAGTGTGGAGTCACCATCTCTAACTCACAACACTGATAAAAATGTATTTTTTCTATGAAGCCATTTAAAAAAAAAAAAATGAAATCATGTTTACACTAATACTGTGATTTGAGCTGCGTTCCTTATGGCGACAGGTTAAAAACCTCTAAGTATTGTTTACTTTACCTTTACTTAAAAATAAAAATAGGACCTAACAACATTAAGACTTAACAGGTCTTGCAACAGTATCCCTGCCAAGACTGTTAGCCTTTGAGTTAGCGGGAGGTACAGAATAGGAAACACAAAAGTGTTTACAACATAGAAATGAAACAGGATAAAGCCTCACCTTCATATGGAAGCTTGTTTCTGCCACTCAAAAGAAATGTGAGTTAATGATCTCAAAAATCTTTCTTACTAACTTCTGAGAAAATTACTCAAATATAATCTCGAGTTATTATGTCCAAGTTTTCAGATAATAGCTTGAAATTTGATTTAGCATTGCCTGGTAAAAAAAATAAATAAAATAAAAACAAAAAGACCCAAACTTTAAACCAGATCCAACGAGGGCAGTGAGGGTCAACTTTAGTTGGCAGGTATGACGGCTATAGCTGTCACCCACCTTTATCATTATGTTTTACACTTTTTACATTTCAGGCAAATGATTAAAGGTAACGCTGTGTTTAACTGCATGTTAAACTGGCAGCTGAAAATATAATGTTAGTTATTAATACCTTTAATATAAATAATATTAATGGTGTTAGCAAATCCTGTGTTGCTTTTGATCATGGCCTATTACAAAACAAGGCTGCAGCAGTCTTTTCCAGCATGCATTACATTCCCAGTTCAGTTCTACATTTCTTTGGGTGTTGTGTCCACTGCTTGTCCTCATCTTACCTTTAATTGACACAGGAAATAAGACATTATGTGGTGGGAGGAGGAGAAACGAGAACAAACTCACATTTAATGAACAACAACACCGCTCAGAGGCGCTTCAGCGATATTATTGGCGCTTAAGAGTGTTGGAAAACCGAAGCCAGGCTCAGCCTTGGATTTCTTTTTACTTTGGCTTGGAAGCTGACATGAGTGACAGCAGAGGCGGGTTATCAATCCTCTGAGCCGGTCTCTCACTTCAAAGTGTTTTCAGCCCCATACAGCTCTCCTGCCGGGGCCAGTTTGGTATTTCTCTGCTCTTTCTCTCTGGGGCAGTAACATAAATAAAGCCTCATTGAAAGTCCACCAGCTACTTAAGCTGTCAAGGTCTTTACCAATTACTGTCACAAAGCAGCGTGTGCAACGCAAAAATATGTTCTCGCTGTATAATAGCCAACAGACTTGGCACGAAGCAAAGGCTGAGCAGGTTCGAGCTGCTGGCGACACTTATACTGGGCCTTAGAGGTAGCACACAAACATTTTTGGAGTGTAATTATCGATATTAGTCGAAAAGAGCCAGCGTGAGCTTGCCTGGAGTTGAGCATCCTGAGTTGGACAGTGTAGAAGAGGATGCATTAAAACATAAGGGAAAGAAGGATTATGCCCTTTGGTCTGTGTGCTTCTTTAATTTAGTAGGGGACAGCGTCAGAAAGCCAGGAGTTTTGGCTTCAGGAAATTAAAAAGCAAAATGCAAACAAACCTCAACTTATAATCCCATCTCACCTTTCAATGTCTTTTATTGCCTGCATAGATTTATAGTAAAATATCTGGGCACAAAATGTGAGAAATCCCATCGGAAGGTAACTTTTTGGTGCCGAATTTAAAATATAATCAGTCCAGGCTGGTAGCTGAGAGTTGCAAAGGAAATCAGGTGACCTCTAAAGCGTGCCAGAGACAGTGATGATAATTTAAACAAACTAATGCTCTCGATAAACAACGCCATCGGGTTCAGACGTCTGTTTTTGCCGGTCAGCATATAAGCACTAAGGTGAGACGGAGCTCTGTGAAGGCAGCAGCACATTGTTTACATGTTTTATCGTCATTGTTGTCTTTATCATCTATAGGATTTTGTTCATTATTATTATAATTAAAACTAAAAATAATAATTCCTTTCTGCTGCAAGTTTACACCTAAGTTTGAATTTTTGATATGCTTCAAATAATACTTTCAGCCATTGGCAGTCTACCCACATAAGGGTCGTTTTCCCATTTGAAATGGAAACTTAGATTTGTATCTATAGAAAAGTATTTCCTTTAGATTTGAGGGGAAAGCTGCTGTTAAGAGTTCAGGCTCCTCTGACTGCACACTCTGTCCTGGATGAAAGTAAAGAAAACCTCAAGTGTTGCTGGTGGTTTTTGTGATATTTGGACCTTTTCCTTTCTCTGCAGGTGTGGTTCCAGAACAGGAGAGCGAAATGGCGAAAGAGGGAACGCTTTGGCCAGATGCAGCAGGTCCGAACACACTTCTCCACAGCTTACGAGCTGCCTCTCCTGACTCGTCCTGAAAACTATGCTCAGGTACAGTGTGAGCTCTTTAACACGTGTTCTTTCAGACCTCTCTCCCCCGACCAAAAGCTAAACGTAGACAGGGGTGATTTTTTTTTCTTTACTGCTATGATCCTAATTTCTGCTACAGACTGGGAATGATTCGCTTGCAATAAAATCAACTTTTAATTGCCTTCCGTTGCGTCAGGAAAGTTGCTGCAGGTGGCAACAGTTAAAAAAAGAATCTCTTTTTCAAGGAGTTGTTGAACATTTTTGAGAAACTTGGCTTTTTTCCTTCATAGTAAGATTATTTTTAAGAAGAAAAAGGGCAAAGTATGTAGCACATTTTGTACGAAAGCACCTCTGTAGGGTACTGATTAACATGCTATGCTGTTTTTTGTCTAATTTTTTCAGGAGGTTCACAGTTTACCAACATTAACCCTCAACAAGGACACAAATAACTAATATATGTACCCTAATTACAAAATCCCTTAAGCATGTAAGGCTTTAGATTGGACTGTGCTGGGTTACAGGAATTGGCACTTGAAGATAAGGAGAGCCAGATAAATGAAAAATACACCTGCACTAATCTATTGTATACACAAGTGTTCGTGGGTTAAACAGCCAATGTAGTCTTTGCTTTCTTTGAGCGTGCATTCAAAATAATGAGGTGTGTGACTGCCTCACTCATGTTGATTTTCCAACAATATTCCAGATCCAGAACCCTTCCTGGATCGGCGGCAGCAGCGCTGCGTCTCCTGTGCCGGGCTGCGTTGTGCCCTGCGACACAGTGACTCCGTGCATGACACCTCACCCCCACTCTGCCAGCGGGGTGTCTGATTTTCTGGGAGTACCGAGTCCCGCAGGTCACGTGGGGCAGGCTCACATGGGCAGCCTGTTTGGAGGATCTCCTGGCATGGCTGGAGGCATCAACACTTACGATCTCAACATGGACCCCGACCGCAAGTCCTCCAGCATCGCCGCTTTGCGCATGAAAGCCAAAGAGCACAGTGCAGCCATATCTTGGGCCACATGATGTGTTGACACATGCTGGATGACGGGGGACCTTGTTGACCCCTGAAAAGTCTAAACAATCCCAGAATGGAGTAAGGGGTGGCACTAAAATCAAGGCAACAGTGGCTACCTTCAAAAATGCTGCAATCAAATTATGTGGGGAAAAAAAGAAAGAGATAAAGATTTGGCAAAATCGGCAGTGCCATGTTTTTGGTGGCACAGCAGTGAGTGCTGTGGAAGCCCAGTGAGAAGGTGAAGGTGTGCTGTATAACAGGAGTTGCAGTGTAGTGCTGAAGATAGGCAAATATATATATATATTAAAAAAAAGATGCTAGAAAAAAGTTCAATTAATCCAAAAAAAGAAGAAAAAAAAGAAAAGAAACATCCATGCACTTATTTGCTAACACAGACACAATTTCTATTTGTACAGAGCTTTTGGTATGTTTGTTTTGGTGCTGTTTTTATTCTGATCTTGTTATTTAAAATGTCCCCCTTTTTCCCTTTTTTGCGTCATTTAATTTTAAGTTTTGATTTCACAGCTAGTTTAAAAAGCATTCTGAAAAAAAACCCTTTTAAAAACCTCCATACATTTTACTCTTTGTCAGCATTAACTTAAGTCATGCCGGTGCTGAGATGACCATCAATACAAGCGTCACAGTAACCAAATCTGGGTATGTTTTCCAGTGACTGAAAACACAGACAGGGCTCTTCCCTCTAACATTACAAAGTAAAACAGATGAAAAGTGGTTCTCTTGAGTATGGCCAAGGGTAAAAGATCCACCTGCTGCACTGACCCAGCCTGCTGATGCCCAGAGAGGAGGAGGAAATGGTGTATGGGAGTACGAGAGGGGCACAGCAGGCCTGCTGCTCTCAGGGTTGAAGAGCCTGGGAGCGCCAGCCTCCAAACAGATGCAGTTCTGTTTTCAGGAGAAAGACTCCAAGTGGACATAACTGTGCCCCTTGCATTTCTAGTCTCACAGGTCTCAGAAAGAGAAGTGCCTACCAGTCAAGCCAGACTGCCAGAAATAACACAGGAACCAGCAGAAGCCTCTTTTGAAACAGAGCGGGCTACTGGGGATAACACCGTGTGTTGACGCTCTTAAGCACTGAATGGATGTCAGTATTCAGCAGCCTTTTCTGGACTTGAACAAGCCTGCATTTGGCTTTCAGTGCAGCGCTGCCATACATGTCATTGTTACTCTTCCTCTTCTTTTTTTTTTTTAACCATCATCAGATCTTTCAAAGTACTCCATCACCCTGATTAATGCATAGTGACCTCTGTGGTTCTGTTTAAGGTTTTGGCCCTGTGTTCCTCGTGCATACATGAAGATTCAAGTGTATTTGGACCAGAATGTGTTAAAGCTGAAGTAAAATCAGGGTCTCCTTTGCACTCGGTTGCAATGGGCCGTGACCTAGGACAACAAAAACTCTCAAATTGATTCTGTGTGAGTCCTCAGCTTAACTCCAAATGTGTTTGGGTTGATGCCCTACTAAAGTGTGTACATCAGCTGGGTTCTGTAGTACTGAGTAAGCTCGGGTCTCTCTCTCGGATCCAGTTCACCTTAATTATTTGACGCTGTAGCATAAAACAAACTAAATGGCAGAAAATCCACAGGTGCTTCGATGATCAGTCTGCAATCTACAGCGAGGTGACTGATGGGAATGAGGTTAAAACTGGCTGAAAGTTCTCTACAGCAGAACAAGGCAGGATAATTGTGTCCATCACAAAGTTGTGACATGGAGACGAGGATTAAAGCTACAAAACTTTGGTCCTAGCTTCATCCGTTTTTGACCATATTTATAAACGTTTTTTCCCCCGTCAGATACCAACATGACAGGTCCATGTCTTCCCTCCGCTTTCGTCTAGTTTACTTCTATCAGGACTTAAGCACTATTCCCTGTGTCTGTGTCCTTTGCCCCCACGAAAAGAAGTGTAAGATAGAGGTTGACCCAGCCAGATACCTCATACCTTGCCGGGGATATCATTCAAATTTTTAAGCATATTTAAAAAGCAAACTTCCATTTTTCCCTGGTAACAGCATCTTGCAGTGACAGAAATAGCCAATGAGCTTTTCAAGTGCAGCAAGATGAGGTAATACATGGCTTCCTTTGTTTGCAAAGCTTGATTTAGGCCTGAAGCATAACAAAGGGTTTCATGGTCTCAGAAAGCAAACCCGATACCTTGTGGTACCACCTCGAGGCAGAGCAACCATTGCTAATTCCCTAAACTAAACCACATTCCCTCTTTTCCTGGGTAGGTAGGTAAGAGAGGTGAGGTGCGGGCTACAACCTGTCAGCAGAGCAGATCGCCCTCAAGTTGTCCAAATCACCTCCAGTTTCACTCCTCTGTGCAAATGCGAGGCATGTGCATGCACAGAGGACATATCCCAGAAGTGAGAGGGTATCCTTGCGAATCTGAACATGGGGCCCCCTGTGCTCTAGCCTAGGGGTTGGACGGAGGGCGAGCTGTGAGGGCGTCTGCTGTGTTCCGGTGTTCTGGGAAAAGGACAGTGCACACAGCTGCGCTCAGGGGGTAAATGCAAAACAAACATGCCTCACACATGCTTCCCCCTCAGCTGTCATGGCTCTGCTTTCAAAGATCTACTCCCCCCTCCCCAATCACACACATTGCACTGCGCCTCTCCCTTCGCTCACTCCCACTATGTCCACCAGCCCCAAGCAGCAGCCCCTCATCGCAGGGTCTGAGGCACAGCCACACAGGCAACTGAGGAAGGCTTTTTAATTAACACTGAGCCATGTGGAGGCTATGGACTGCAGTATTGTGTGTCAGGATGGACAGGACTGTCTGTCTTCTAGTTGGTCTAGCTGGACGCAGACATACTGGCAATGAGACGCTCAGGTTTACCGTTTTCTGTGCATTCATGAGAATCTCCAGTGAGGTCTTTAACATATGGAAACCAAAGACGGACAGTTTTTACCACTTTAAGTAATTTCCTACACTTACACAAAGCCTGTTAATGCAAGATTCAGCTTTATATTTAAAAAAAAATCTCTCTTGTATGCTGCACAACTCCAGCCTTGAGTGATAACGTCCCCCTTTCTCATTTTTTTAATACTACTGAAGTCAGGTAATCAGTATAGGAGTAAATATATGATAAATGCGTGCTGTTGTGTGCATGTACAGTGTTGTGCGTGCAGCTTGAAGTGTCATAAGACTCGTAAACATTTTACTAATTTTATGCAGTTTTATTTTGTGGGACAATTTATAAATATTTGAGTGTAAAACTTCTCTTAAACTTGGTGATGATCTGTTTGTATTCCTAGTGTTTGTGGACATTGTTTTCTCATCATGTTATTCTTTAATTTCCCCCTCCTACCAAGTTTGTGTGGCTTTAAGCTGTCTTTGGAAATGAGAGTATGAATTTACTCATGCTTGTGTGATTAAAATACCATAAGTTATTGTACTTTGATTTAGAGTCGCTGTGTTCTGAAATGCGTAACAGCCTTAATAAGGTGGAAGCAGCAAAACAGTAACTGCTCCCTGCAGCTTCTCAGCAGACCGAGACTTCCAGAAAACTCAAATGACTGCAGCCGCGGTACAGAAGAAAACCATCCTCCTATTAGCACTCGAAGATCGCTCAAGTCACTCCGAGTCTCAAGAGAAGTCTTTCAAGATGTCAGCTAAAGGCGCTGGTTGGCCAGAGAAGTGTCTGAGGCTGTTGAGAAAACCCATAAAATTTGCTCCGTCTTATTACTTCGCACCACCGTGCCAAAATATTGTGTCATCCCTGTAGTCACATTGTGAAATCCCCGTGCGTTTCAGGTCCTTTGAAGGGACAAAAGTGCTGAAATGAGATCGCGCAACCCACAAGACTATCACACTAATTGAAGCTGACAAAAATACGAACTGCACCCTTTTGAACCGCTGACATTGAACAGGGTGGATTAGGCAGCTATATTAACAACAGGTGACAGCCTGGAGGGAACAGTGGATCGGCCGTGTCACGGAGGGGCTGATCTGGACAGTCACAGATTACAGCGCGAGGCAGACGTTAAAGAGGAAAGTGTCTTTCCTCATCTTCTTTCCCACCTCTCTTGAACATCGAGGAAAAAAAAAGAAAAAAAACTGTGGTACATGGTTGTGCAGGGTTTTACTTGTATTACAAAGTCACATATATACAGTTAAATGCATAAACCCCAGTCGAAAAAATATGAAAACGGGAAAGGGAAATTTAAAACAAACAAACAAAACCATCTTAAAAGACCGCACTGCTCTCCGATTTGCTGCCTTAATGATGTAACTGGAGAAATTAGTGACAAAAAAGGTCAAAAAGTGAAACATACACAATAGGTTCGATTAAAAAAAACAAAACAGGAAAAACAAACAAACCGTTTATGTCTGTTTTGAAAAATGTGGACTTGTCAACCAGTCTTCTATTCTAATGTAGTGTTCATAGACAATTCATGAACTGACTTAGTAGATGCTTTAATAAGCATCACAGTTTTCTTACATTTCTACGCATAAATACAAAGAAAGGCTCGCTCAGGCGGTATAAAATTACAGTTGCAGTGAAATGCTCCAGTAGCTCGACATGCCTTTTTCCAAATCGCCTACTCACTCTAAATCTTAGATTTACGGTGCCAGCTTTTTCCCAAGGTCCGCTCTGACTGCATAAAGCACTGTACATCATGAATAAAGTGTCCTTGAATCGTTTTGATATTTATCGTGTTAACTTTAACATTTATTACTCTTTCTGTGTTGTACAGTTTTAAGAATAATGTCCGATGTCAGCGTTTTGGAAAGAAGGAAAAACATAGAAGAGAAAGTTTGTGTTGGAGAATCATAAATTATACAGCACTGCTGCAAAATACAAATATATACACTGTATACACTGAATCGAGAGTAGCTGGAGCCCAAAGCAACCAGCTCCAAAACGGTAACAGTGAGGGACCAAAAACCTGGAGTCAGTCGGCCTTGTCCGTCAAACGTCAGACTACTTCACAGCCACCTCAGATTTTGGTTTAACTCTGATTTAAAATATAAACCTGATGTCATTAAATTCAAGGTAAAAACAAAAATCACTTGAACTGAGAGGGGACATGAGCACATCCCGCTTCAGTCAGAAAACAGTGTTGGTTATGCGTGTTTGAGTGCTGAGGCTGTGATGGGGTCCAAACATCCTCTGCTGGCTGGTCAGAGGCTGCCGATGTTGGGGAAGCTCTTCAGCTTCTCTGGGAAGTCATCTTTATAGAGCACCGGGTCTGCGCGATGTTCCACCACTTTCAGAGGCATCGTCCCGAAAACTGAGGCAAACTTGTTGATGCACTCAGATCTACAGAGCGGGAGACATTTTATCAACAAGCATGATAAAACCATTCATATAGCATCTGACCCTTAATAGACTCAATACTGAGATTGGGTACATTAAGGTCACTTACATTATTTTGACATTTTATGCAATCGCTACATGAAGGTTTTTATAATGTTTGTTTTTGGACATTGGCTACTTTTTCACTTATTTTTAGTCTTTGTACAAAATTATGTTCTTGTTTTTTTTTAGACTGTTAGAAAACAAACAGTGCAATAAACACACTCTACTACTGATGTTCTGAAACTGCACAAAACTAAAATGATCTGAGGGAATTTCAGCTGCTCTTTGTTGATCATTTGGAAAACAAATACCTCTCCACCATGTGTGTCTGATCCAGCGACAGTCCATCTATGGCAGTACATTCAGGGCACTTGAACTTCTTCCTTGGAGTCACCTAAACAGAAGCACAGTTACAGTCACACCAGTGATATTTGCTCACTTCAGGGTTTGTTAAAGCTCAGCATCCTAAACAGGAGCAGTTTGGTCAAATGAAGCAAGTCTTTGACATCCAAAGAGAACTTTTGTTGCAGACAGTGTGAAGAATTACTTTTTAATTCTTATCGGCAGGACATTTCCTTCCCTTGACTTTTGTCATGAACATGTGAACATTTGAATGTACGTGTGTAGAAGGAAGGGGAAGACAGATATTCTTGGTCAAAGAGGGTAAGTTAAGGAACCTGTTGGAGATGTTATGGGAGGTAGGACCAGAGGTGCAGGTGTAAGAAAGTGTGCAGAGTGTGCATAAGCCCTAGTGAGCTTAGAAAAACACACTGGGAGGGGAAGTGTCAGTGAGTGACTCCCAGATAAGGGAGGTTAAGGTCGGGCTTTAGCTCAGGGCCCCTGCACCTGGACAGAGTTGGGGTGATGGGGAGGGGGAGAGGCTGTGATGTTGAAG